GTCATGGAAACCTTCACCATGCAATGCCTTGAACTCAGCTCTGGCTGCTCCCCAGAAGAGGCGGCTGGCTGGGGGCCTGGACACAAGCACAACGGGAACGGTAGAGCCACTGTGCAGAGCTACTTGAATAATCACTGGGTCTTCATCAACTCCGTTTCTAACACAGACCACTGAAGGGCTGAAGTGTTGGTAACCTGCATTTGGTGTCCAATGCCTCACAGCTGCTGAGCCGCCCTGAGATGCTTGTGGCCATGCGATGGCCACGGTCAGAGCTTTGAAAGTCAGTACCAAATGAATGCGTAATTGGACACCAAAAATCAAGTGTTACTTTCATGTTTCCTCACCCATATCATCTCACTTCTTCCTGCCGACTCTGATACTCTCCACAAAGCTGACCTGCCAGGTTTTAGCTGAACGCGTCTAGATGCAGGCCGGCGTCACTCTCGTTTTTCAGACAGACCTACTCCGTGGAAAGGAAGGAGCCTAGCTGCTTTGTTTTTGTAGCACTTACTGGCTGGATTTTTCTTTTGCCTAATCACGAACCAGAACCACTAACCTGGTTAGGGGGACTCCACTCCATCCCTTGGGTCCCCAGGACCAGACAGACTGTAAATTCTGGAAATTCAGTACTTGAATGTACCTGCCTTATTGTGTACCAGCTGACTGGAAAAAAAGAGTTAGAAATGCCGGCTCCAGATCTCTCCTTCATTCACAGGTTATTTTGGAAATCTTGTAAGTTACACTTCCTGTTCCAGTTTGTTTTTGTTTTTGTTTTTTCCTTTGGCTGATTCCTGCTGAGTGGGGCCAGTTCCTCATCGGGCTCAGGGCAGGTGCCATCCTCAGGCATGGCCTCCTTTCCATTTAGTGCAGCATATCCGTCTCTGTTCTGTCTCCTCCAAATCCAAGATGATTTTAATTAGTACAGACATGTACAGTCTACAATTAAAGAGTGATTTGTACTAATATGATTTTGATTCCTCCTCCTCTTTGCTGTCCTTTCAAGACACTTGCTGGAAAAAGCTTTAATGCACTTAGTTTTCCTTTAGGTTTTCTATGACTCAGATGTAAAGGACTTTCTCTGTACAGTATATTATCCAATGCATGTTTGTTCTCTCTCCCGATATATTGAACACCACACAGTTGTGAACTCGTGCAGTGGGGATGTCCCACACCCAACAGAGGCATCTAGCCCCCTGTGTATAAGGAAAGACCTTTTCCTTTGCTGTACTTGCTTGAGCAGTTGTATTGTCTGTACATGTGAGCTGTGTGAGATAGATGTGAAAAGTTAAATGAATGCATTTTCCTGCCCATGTGTACAGATCGCCATCCGTACAATGAACTGTATGTATGAAAGCAAATGTACTTATTTATAAAGGGTAACACTTGGAAAAACACGGTGTTGTGGTGCTTTCTCCTTGCGGTACCGTGCGCCTTCCGAGAGCTGCCTGGAGCTCGCCCTCCCCTCACGGTCCTGCAGTGCTGAGGAGGGACCTCGCTGAGCCTCCCCCAGGGACAGCCTCCCCCAAGGTGAAGGCGGAGGCCAGATTCCTGATGATCCGGTTGGTCTCCCGTGGGACGTGCACAGTCACCCCTCCAGGCTCGTGTTCATTCAGCGAGGTGACTGGGCACCCCCCTCGGAGCTGGGGCAGTGTGGTAGGCATGCGGCGGGCACTCAAGAGCTGTGGCTGAGGAAAGACAGTTCCGTGGGCCTGTCGGCAAAGGCTTGCCGGACCTGCTGAGAGAGGGAGGCTTTTTCCTCAGTGGGTTCCTCTCCCTCCAAACCAAGGGAGCACTGAGGTGTCTTATTTGATTTTAGTAGCTGAGGCTGCAGGCCCAAGGGGAGGGGAGGGAACAGCCCTAGCTAGAGTTCCCCAAGCGAACTTGGTCGGAGCTGGAAGCCCACTGCTTCCACTGGCTTATTTTCTCTTCAGCAATCTGGCCAGAATTTCCCATCCTTACCAGCCAGAGAGCTAGGCAGCTGCATCCTAAGTGGAGAAGCTGCAGGTTTCCTGAAACTGGATGGAGACTCTCGAGACCTTTTTTTCAAAAGCGGCCAGCCCGGAGTCCTGCAGCCTTTCCTCCTCGCTGGTACCGCTCTGTCTACTGCAGGGACGAGCAAGGAAGGAGACTGCTTCCTCTAGACACCACATTGTGCTGAACAAACATCCCTGTTGTGCAACTACGCCCATTTCCCCAAAACAGCCAGAGCTGGGGAAGCAGGGAAACTCCAGGCACGCAGTTACCCCAGCCTGGATGCCAGAGTTACCTTCAAAGAGGACAGGAGAGGACTCTGGAAGGAACCACCTGCTTGGTCTGAAAACTTTAAGACCTCGAGGGGTTCCAAACCCAGTCAGGTGAGGGACACCCTGAGCCGGTGAAGGAGAGGGGAGGCGTCTCCTTCGCGTCTGAGATCATTTGACTATTTCCAAACACGGAGACCCTGGATCCAGAGGCGAGCACAGAAGTCGGAGGTGACATGGGCCACTCACGGGGTCCAGGGGCTTCTGCCCTCACACTGAGAGCCAGCTGTGATCTTGACCGAGCCATTAGCTTGTGACATGTACCAAGCCATGTGTTTTGCATGCTTTTAAGCAAATGAAGCTTCACACAGAAGCCCTGATTCAGGAGACAAGACTCCACAGATGCAGAAACCAAAGACCTCTCAAGAATATGGAGAATAAAGTCAGTATCAGGAAGGATTCATGTAACCCGAGGATCACGCATCAGAGGATTTGCCGTAGGGCCCTGTTAGTGTTCTCAGTGACGTGCCCATCTGGAGCCCACAGAGCGTCCCCGTGTGAAACCCCCCTCGACTTCACCATAAACGCACCTCCTGCCTGGGCCTCGGGAATGGCTCTCAAGTAAAATCTCCACTTGTTCCCCAAGTTTTGCTCCTCCTCTGAAGGAATAGAGAGACATATTTTTAAAAGGCAGAAAGTTACTGGGGGAGAACTTCTTGCCGAGGCCCTTACTGGGCTCCGGGATCCAGCCTCCAGGCCACTCTCTCCGGGTTGAGAAAACGGTTTCTCCCCCACTGGGTCCACAGACCGAGCGGCCCCCGGGGCCATCTCCGAGCCTGTGTCCTGACAGCACGCATCACTGTACCTTCTGTGCCCAGCCGGGGGATGTGCCGTTTGTCGAGCCTGGTAGAACTAACCTTGTATCTGACTGTTCTAGAAGCACCTTTTTGTCGCCACAGTTAATGAAGCTAGCAGGCCAGAGATCTGCTGTAGACGTTTATTGAATCATCCGTTGCACCGACGCTACACCGCACTTCAAAGACGACTGGCCACAGGCAAAGTGAAATAAACCACGGGGGGCACTTTCAGGGGGCCTCCAGAATCATCCAACGGACACTCGGGCCAACAGACCAGTTTACAGGTTTTTACCAGAAATCTAAGGTTCCGTCTCTCTCTGGGGCGTCCTGGCAAGGGAGAGTCACAATTGCACTTGGGTTTGTCCAAGGGGGCGTTTGTCCACGTGAAAATATCTGGCTATACGGCGCGTGCCAGGCGGGGGGAGAACGGACGGGGTCCTGGTGCGGGCAGAGCGCACCGTGTCACCGGCGAACACCCCGGCCAGCCGGGCCGGCTGCAGCAGGGAAGGGGGCTCGGAGGGGACTGGGCCGCCCTGCTGGGGAAGGCTCGGGACCACAGCCACCTGCTCGCTGAAGTGGCATCGCTGGAGGCAGGGCTCAAGGCCAGAATGGAGTGTTCGCAACCGGAGCACGAGACGAGGCTGGCCCCTTTCTCGAAGGCAGCGCTGAGGTGAGAAAAAGGCAACCATCCAAGGAGCAGCGGTCAGGTTTGGAAAGCTCTTTGCATTTCTTCATTTACGTACCCGGTGTCCGTCTCAAACTGTGTCATGTTCCTCAAAGCCCAGCACAGGAGGAAAACAAGGAGAGAGCATTCACCGAGTCCAGGAAGCACAAGGTCAATGCTCTAATCATGTTCCCTCTAGGCTGAAGCCGAAGAGTGACTCGGCGGCCCAGAGCACGGCAGGCCGCTGGGAGGACGCTCCGGGTCCCCTCAGCCCCGACCGCCCGCAGAGACGGGCGCAGCGGGGAGAAGGGCGCTTTCCTCCGCACAGGAGCGGGCGGCCCTGCCTTCCCTGGGAACAGGGCAGCAGCAGCAGCAACTTTCTGCTTAAAAAAAAAAAAAAAAGAGAGAGAGAGAAGCCCCGGGCCTGAGGTCAGAGCGAGAGCAGAGCCTAAGCTGGCTGCTGAGGGCGGGGAGCCTGGCGGCAGCCAGCAGGCCCCAGCCCAGCACGCCTGCCCGCGGGCCATCTCGGCCTCCTCTCTCGGTGGCCCTCAGCCGCCAAGGACAGTTTGTCTCCAGCCGGGGCCCTGGCCCTCTCCCGGCAGAGCCGTCCTGGGGCTGAGGCCCGGAGAGGAGGAGGCTGAGAGTGCGACTGGGCCGAAGCCACATCTCCACAGCTTCCCAGGGGCCCGCCCCTCCCCTCTCCAGGGGACCCTTGCTCTGGACACCAGCATAGTTTATACATAGTATCACCTGCTCCGCTGCCAAAGTGGGGGCCATTCTCCACGCGTCATTCAGACGGACGGGACTCTGGTCTGAATTCAGCGTTACACAAAGCAAGTCTCGGCCTTGCCAGGCCTGTCACTAAGCCCCAGTTTCTCCCACAGCTTTGTGCTCTTGGCAGCCCCTGGACTCGGCCCAGCATCCACTCCTCAAGAGGAGAGCCACTCTGCGTCTTCTTGAAGGATCTGTGCTTCTGTAGCCGGGACTGACCACCCAAAACCCTGCCCGAAGCGGCTCGAGTGGAGGGGGTGACGGTGACAACAGGGCCGGGTCTGTGCGTGACTAACGGGACTCTAAAGCAGCAACAAGGAGGGAAAGCAGAGGAAGCCAAGCCCTACAGCCCACAACGGGGCGCTGCCCCCATGCGCCCGCCGCACTGGCCAGCCCTCCCCGGGAGCCACCGAGCCAGCAGAGCCGCGACAGAGCGTGGGAAAGTCGCCTACCCAACCCCCCCCCACCCCGAACTGCGGCGGCCAGCCACAGCCGGGCCCTCCGTGCGGGAGGAGGACAGGCCATCACTGGGAGCCAGGGCTGTCGCCTTCTGTCAGCGTCTTGAAGTCCATGGAGAGGGCTTGTTCCTCCGCCTGGGGTGGCCGCTTCCAGTCAGAGCGAGTCAAGATGTAGAGCACGGTGACCCCGAAGCCGACCAGCAGCAAGCCCAGCACATTGGCCAGGACACCCTCAGCCTCAAACGTGCTGTACTTGGCCCTGCGGGGTTGGGCGGAAGGGAAAAGCCCCCCAAGGGATCACCGTCCGGCCAAATGCCCTCCGCACCCAGAAACAGCAGAAAGATGGCCTGGCATCCCCACCCCAGCCCCGGGAGGAAAACCACTGCCTCGCTAACTCGCTAACTCGGGGGAAAGCAGCGGGGAGGAGGCTCACCCAAGTTTGAACAGCAGCGCCTCCTTCAGGCCCAGCAGGGCGGTGCCCACGGACAGGAGGAAGATGGCGGCGCCGAAGAAGACGTGCTGCGGGCGGTAGCGGCTCCGCAGGGAAAACGAAGCTCCGGGGAACAGGAAGAAGCTCAAGCCCACGAGCCACTGCAAGGAAAGGCAGGGGCTGCCAGAGACGGAGCTGGCCATCCGTCTGACGGAGCCCAGGACACGCCGACAGGCAAGGAAGCAGAACCCCTGCGCCCACCGGGCCGGCTCCCTTCACCCTAAGAGCTTGGGTGCCCGGGCGGAGGTCCCGGCCGCGGCACCCCCAGGCCTTGGCCACACAGTTGGGCTCTGAGGCACCCTCGCCTGGGAAATCCTGGCTTTTGCACCCATTTCAGAGTCCCCAGGCAGCCACCGGCGGTGCTAAAGCACCTCTTTCACTTTCAGACACACGGCCTGGAAGTGGGCCCTGGTGGGACACCCGTGTCGTCACCCCCCCCCCGCCCCCACCCCCGTCCCCGTCGCCGTGGGCTGAAGCCTCACCTGCACGAAGTAGAGAACCAACACGAGGAGGCCACACCAGCTGTGCAGGCTGTACAGGTCCGCGTAGCCCTTCTTCCGGTGGTAGTCGAACACCGCCACCACGCCTGGGCCGGGGAGAGGGGCCGCATGAGGACAGGGCTGCCGGGGAGGTGACCCAAGGGAAACCCGACTCGCTGGCACTTCTGGGATCTGGTCCCAGCTCGATGGCTGCCAGCACCCAGTGTCCCAGCCGGGGATGCCCGGACGGGGGCGGAGGGCCGGGGAGGGGACCGTAACAGAACTGGCGTGGAGACCAGATGGATCAAGCAGCTACTTCCCCAAGTCCAAAGCAGAGGTGGGGAGAGGGGGCGCCCGTGCCAGGGAACTCACCCACCAGGGCGATGATGAGCGCGAAGACGTGCAGCAGCCCATGCAGGACCTTGGTTGTGCGTTTGGTCTCGTTCCTGAAGACCCGGTAAACCAGCAAGGCTTATGGGGAGCGAGAAAGGGACCGTGAGGCCGGCCTGCCACCAGCACCAAGGAGACACCCCTTGGCTGGGGGAGGCGGTCAGAATGAAGGGCTTGTCAAGGTCCTCCAGCCACAGCCAAGGGGAGAGAAAACAAGGCTCCGTGGGGCCCAGCAGGGGTCCCCGGATGTGTGTCCCCTAGCACCCCCGCCACCATCACTTCCTTGTCAAGTGTGCCGTGTGCTCCAGGCTGTGTGGTCAAGGTCATCACACAGTGATGCCGAGGTGTCACCAAGCTTCTGCGTTCACCTCTTAGCTATGATCAATAGTCCAGGATGGAAGCCTGAGCAGACACTACCTTTACCAAGCAGGCTCCCTAGACGGGGAGACAGGGAGCCCCCAGGTCCGAAGCTAACTCCCCACCCCGTCACTGCGCCGAGCCAGACAGACCCAGGTGGCACAGGGAATGCCTCTGCGGAGCGGCTGCTGCTGCAGGAGTGGCTGTCACCGGGACCACCTCTAGGAAGAATGGGTCAAGCAGATCCAGACTTCTCCTTAGCAGAGGAGAAGGCCACAGAAGCAAGTGGGGGCCAAGCACAGCCTCACTCCTTCAGAAAGGAACTTCAGCTCTGCCGAGTCCAACACCCACCCCCGACACACACACACACACACATTGAAACCAACCCTCTTTCTCCCGGTATCAAACTGTCCCCACAGAAGCTGGCCTCAGCTCACAGCCCAAACCCTGGGCTTCCTGCTCTAAGCAGCACACACACCACTGGATGCTCCTGTGAAAGACCAGGACAAGTAGGAAAGGAGTTGCCACCCCCACACCTCAGGCCCCTGGATTTGGATGCCTGGTGTCCCCAGGCTCCAAGCCAGCTTCCTTCCTGTCTTTTGTGGAACCACCTCAGGACAAGAGTGTTTGTGCAAACAGCCTCTCTCAGGAGCGGCTCCGGGCGCACAGGCGGGACTCACCGTCTCCCTGCAGGAAGATCAGGCCTATGACCATGGAGAGCGGGTGCACGTTAAACTGCAGGGCGCCCTCCCAGGCGATGCCGCCCCTGTACAGACCGAGCCAAGCCCCCGTCATGGCCACCACAGTCAGGCCCAGCAGCTGGGAGAAAGCCACGTAGTAAGGCAGCGCTCTGGGCGTGGCCGCCAGGCCGGCCGGACGGTCCATGCTGCGGCAGCTGCTGGAGGAGAGACAGACAGCTCAGAGCAGCACACGCCACACCCCGGCCTCCCAAGGCCGAGCGCAACGCCCCCCTCCCCCCTCCCCCCTCCCCCAGGCCCCTGTGCTGAAGCCGGCCACCCCAAGTCTCTAGTGCGTCGGCAGAGGTGCCCCGCTTCCCCGGAGACGGGCCAGACACCGGCTGAGAGAGGCCACGAGGGTGCAAGTGAAGGTCCCCCAAATTCGGATGGGAGCAGGTGTAAAGCCCGCACCTGGCTTTACATTCGGTTTCATGAGGCCCCGGGTGTTCTCAGGGGGCTTCACAGACGAGGGACAGAGAAGTGAGGAAACCCCTCGAACGAACAGGGTTCCTCACTGTTTTCCCCCAGGTGTGTCCTAAGGACATCGGGTGCATTCCCCGCCCCGGCGTGCAAGCCTGCCGCCCGAGATGAAGAGGCGTCCTGCCCTTCCCACAGCAGGCCCCCTGCTTAGAGCAGGGATGCGCTCGGACCCCGCTTCGCCCGACACACGCGGGCAACAGGAGCAGCCAAGCAGCCTGCTCCCTGCGGCTGCCTCTTCCCCTCCCCCGCCCTGCTCAGGGCAGGCCAATCCGCACTCCGGCTCACCTGCCGCTTCCAAAACTAAAGTCACCAGAAACGAGCCCTACAGGGAACAGCACCTCGCGTGCAGGGCTCCTGGTGTTTCATACACGTCACTCCGCTCCCGGTGAGCCTGTGTGAGGCCGTAAGCAGGGAGTTACTGGACCCATGCTACAGATGAGAAAAGGGCAGTTCCAGGAGGGGGGTGGGGTGTGTGTGTGTGTGTGTGTGTGTGTGCAGCGCATTTCCCGGCTCCTCTGCCCAGTCCACCCCTCTGGTGGTCTCCTCCCCACCCCCCACCAGTTAGGACGGCCTTCAGCCGGTGGTTGGTTCTCCTGACCCAGAGCCCAGCCCTGGCCCAGACACCCAGGAGGGAGAGGCAGCCTGGGCACGAACAAAAGATGGCCTCCATCCGCCTTGACTTGCCGCTGGAGTGTCCTGTGCCCACAGAAAGGTGCTCTCCCCGTCCCCAGTCCTGGCCTCGCCTAGCACTGCTGGAAACATCCCAGAGAAAGACAGCAGAGCAGACACACGCCTAACAGGCTTATGGTCCCCTGCTCACAGCCAGCGTGTGCTCTTTCTCTACCCTGTACGGCACAAGAACTTGTGTCCAGTCGGCCTGGTGTTCTACGACTACTGGGGAGGTTACCCCCCAGTTCTCTCTGCCATATCCGACAAATGTTGTCAACTTCACCATCAAAAAAAGTCAGTGGCAGTGGGGAGTGTTACTAATACACTTCTTTCAGTAAAATACAGATTAGCAAAAAAAAAAAGGGAAAAATTACAAGTAATCAGCATTTTCGTGTGTGTCCTTATATCACTTTTTTCTAGAAATATATACATTATTTTATAGAAACAGAATCCTACTGATTTCTAACCTGTTTTAACTTCATAGTAGGTCATACTCATCTCATCATGTCAAAGAAAATCCATCTACTTTATGCCATCATTTCAATGACGTCACAAGATTACAGGATACGGCTGTTCTGTGCTTTAACCAACCTGCTGAACCTGTTGTTCAACATTTAGCTAGCTCCCAGTTTTTTACTAAATAAGCCATGCTATGTGACCATCTTTGCACATGTGTCTTATTAATTCCTCACTGGAGAACAGAGGTTTTTGACATTTTATCAAATCATCTTCCAAACACACTCCCACAGCCGGTAGCAACACCTGTTTCCAGAGGCCTGGCGGACAACAACCCTCTGCTTCTGAAACTCTTGTCTCTGTATCTGTCACCTCTACACGGGTAACTCCTAAATGTAAGACCCGTTCTGTGCTCTCCCCCAAATACAAACACCATTTCTAGCCACCCACCATTCGCCTCTCCCGACAACCCACACACACTCCAAAGGCAGCGCGTCCAAAGTCAACTCATCTCCCCCTGACAACCAAGCCCGCTCCTGACCGCGCACCTGGCAGACGTGGCCACCGAATGCTAGAGGATCTCCCCTGGGCCCCCCCCCCACATCACTTCCCCCCTGGCCACCTTCCTTGCCACCACCCCAACCAGGGCATGGGGCTTCTGCTCCAATCTCTACACCCCCCTGCCGCCCCAGCCCACACAAACAGCGCCCCTGCCTGCTGGTGAAATGCCACCTCTGTAACACCATCCGAACTCCCAACTCCGTTTCCATGTGCGCCCCGGGTTTTCTTACCAAATCCACTCAGAGGAGACTCTCGCTTCCCCTACCACCCTCTGCCTCACACTGCCGGGCCTCACTCCCTGCTCCCCGCCACTCGCACACCTGCCCCCCACCTCCTCCATTCACTCTCCCCTCCATCCTCGGCCCACAACCTGAACCCGGCATTTCATTCATCTCTGGCCGGTCCTCTGCACCGCCAACCCCGGCCGGGGGGGCTCAGTTACCCCGCGGCGGTCTGCCTCCCGGGAAGCTCGCCTGCGCCCCTCTGCTCACCTGCCCGGGGAGCTTGCGCAAGGCAGGCCACGCGTCCCGCTCTTCCTTGGATCAACTCCGGGATCTGTTGCCGTGCACTGACTCGAACGGGAAAGATCTACCAAACAGCTGCTGTCCCCGGGTCACCTGTTCTCAGTCCTCCTCCCCTTTATTAGATTCATCCCCAGAACGCCTGGGGCACAGTCAGAACCTGATTAGCTCTGACGGAGAAAGAGCACAGGGAACGCGCTCTGCGGCTGGTAGACCTACCACAGCTTCCGCAGCCCGAGCTGAATGACCGCCGACAGCAGTGGGAGCTCAGGGCTGCAAAGGAACTGTCGCTCCCGGATCTCGGAGCTACTCCGTGGCCAGGCCAGCCAGCCTCCTACTGAGACAGGCAGAAATCAAAGCGAGGGTCTCTGCAGAGCTGTGAGATTGTGACTTAGGAGAAGGAGTATATAGGATGGAGCTCCTAAAACCCTTGGAATTTCCCAACCACGCCAGAAACCTGCCTTGTTAACGAGCCCTTAGATAACCTGTGGGCGAGGGCTGGTTGCCAGGGAAACCAACCACGTGATTGACGGCTGGAACCTTCCGTTCCACCCTCTCAACCTCTAGGGAGCGGAGGGGCTGGAGATTTGAGTTCCATGGCCAATGGCCAATGATCTAATCGAGCCTGTCCAAGTAATGAAGCCTCAGTAAAATCCAAAAGGAGCTTCCCAGAGGACGGCTACCCTAGTTCCCGGGGACAGAAGCTCCTATGTTCAGGACCTTCAGGACCTTGCCCTAATGTTCCTCTTCCATCTGGCAGTTCCTGAGTCATAGCCTTTTAAAACAAATCTACTAAGTAAAATGTTTCACGGAGTTCTGTGAGCTGCTCTAGCAAATTACTTGAACCCAGGGAGAAGGCCAGGGGAACTTCTCATCCACAGCAGGTGGGTCAGAGCCACATGGGCGAACCTGGATTTGCAACTGGCATCCGAAGTGGGGAGCAGTCTTGCGGGACTGAACCCGTAACCTGTGGGCTCTGACGCAATCTCCAGGTAAACAGTGTCGGGACTGAGTTAACTTGCACGACACCCAGTCTTTGCCCGCTGAGAACTGGAGAAGTGGCTGGTAGCGCTGAAAAGGAAACGCACTTTGGAATAATCGAAACCGCCGAATGGGGGGCTTGAACAAATTCTGCACTGTAATTTCCCATCCTGATTTCCCCAGGAAGTCCGAACCCTAATGCTGTTTGGAGCAGAGCACAGAGCAGAGAGGCCTGCCTGTGTGGCTGGGAGGATGGCTCCCAACAGACTGCAAGCCCCCTTCTCTGTGCTCAGCCTTCTCTGGCTTAACCTCCGCAATACCACTAGGATAACAGGAGTGTTGTCCCACCTTAATGGGTGAGGAAACTGGAGCTCAAAGAGGATACATGACATGCCCCAAATTACCAGCCACGAATAGCTACTCAACGCAATTGTTCAGTGAGCACCTGCTGTATGCTGGCGAGACTACGAGATGATGGAGCTATACAGGTAAGACAGGATCCCTGCCTTCGGGAAGCTTGCAGACGAACTGCAGAGCAGATGCGGAATTTTTTAGTAAAGGGTGGTAAGAATTCAGGCTGCAAGCTCAACTCAGGCCTCCAAGGGCACTAGCCACTATCCATCGGCTTTAACACAGGGAGGTGACTCACCCCAGCAGCTGGTCATCGGGCAGAGGCGTGGCTTTGCCCAGCATGGAGGGTGGATCTGAAAGCAATCAACGATCTGAATGCGCGCTTGCCAAAGAAGTCACTTTGAACCAGAGCAGCAAGAAGACTCTCTGTCCCACACCAGTCCTCCTGTGTCCCTCACCTCTCAGGAAACCAGGCTCCTAAGGGAGGCCCATCACCACGTCTAGCACTGGTGTCCCCTGCGGGCTCTCCTGGGAGAGAAGAAGGCAGGATGGGAACAGGCAGTTAAGAGCGAAGGGCTGGCAGGAGGGCAAACAGCCGATCCATGAGATTTTTACATTAGCTGCTCCAAAGGCAGCTCCCCTTCCCCATCTGTGCCGGGAACTAGGCATCTGGGTGGTGAGGTGTCAAAGAGGAAACCAGCAATAAAGAATGACCTTTGGAACTACGAAAGCCCAAGCTGTCTCCTCCACTCTTCCTTTCAGTGTGAAGGTGATTTAAGTCCAAGCATGAGGGATGCAAGAAAACTCACACCAAGCAAGACCATCCTGCCTCCAGGTGGCCTCACAGTCAGTAAACTCCAAGGGTGAAAAATCCAGATTCACAAAAAAGACAAAGCAGTGAGTGGTTCTGTGCTTTACAGAACATGACCTGAACGATTCCTTCAACAACAGCTTATTCAGTTCAACATCACGGACAACCTATCTTTGGCCAAGGAGGGCCTGCTTCCAATGCTGGAAAGAGAACACACTTCACTGAGTCCGATTGGAAACTGACCCACCCACAAACACATTTTGCATGTGTAAACTTGGAAATCAGTCCCGAGTCACTCCCCTAGTAAGCAGTTGCCTTTGAATCATGTGCCTTCGGTTCCCAATCCAGACAGTGACAACACTCTCTCTCCCTTCCCAAACAGGATGCTCCCCCCACCCCCAATGACGGTGGTTTCTGGGCCTTTGTTCCCGGAGCAGAAGCAGCAGCACCGAGGGCCTGGAAGCTGCCATTCTCCACCCCAAAGCTCTCCTCCGATAGGCAGACCGGAGTCTTAGAAGCAGAGGAGGCTCTTACAGCCCCTTCCAAAGCCACTCTCTTTCCTGTCAGAGCACAGGATGGGGGTGACAGTTTTGGCAGCTTCTGGAACTTTGGGCTGAGACAGTCACACACCACCCCCACCCCACCCTGCCCCTCCCACATACACTTGCAGGCCGGATCCACTTAATGCAATCAAACAGGCACAGGAGCTACCCGCAGGGCTTGACTGTGCTCAGAATCACTCTCTCTCCCCGTGTCCACAGTTTCATTTAAAGGCCACCAGGTCTAATCTCATTATGGAGACCAGACACTGCGCCTGTCCTAGAGCCTGGAAGCAGGCAGCCTGGCCTGGCCACAGCCCTCCTTGTCCACAGCCGGGTTTTAAAATTGGGTTAGAGAAGATTATATTGGGGACAGAAGTTAGAGCTTTTCTTGATGGGTGAGTGCCGGGAGGAGGGGACAACTCAACTGCCCTAGAATATCCTAGAAAGTGATGGAATAGAAGGCAAAATGAAGGCTGAGGTGTCAGCCAGGGCCCCAAGTAGCCTGCGGGAGGAAAGCAAAGCTTGAAGTCAAACACTGAGCCTGGTTCTCTATTAGGTACAGTGGGCCTGGCTCCAGGGTTCCCAATCCTTGTAGGGTCCCACAAAAACTGTTAAGATTTCTGCTATATCAGGAGGAAAAACAAATTCAGTGTTGAAGAAAATGCTTTAATTTTTAATCCAGCCTGGGTTATATCTGCTTTATACCAACACAGTTGTAAAATAGAGGGTTTTTTTTAAATTGTTATTATTTTTGGTGGAAAAAGGGTCCCACCAAGGCAAAAGTGCCTGGGACCCATGAATGCAGCTCTGGTCAAACACACGTGATTTTAAAGCCAGCCCTACTGTTTACGTGCTCCTGGTCAAGCCAAGTCCTCTCTCTGGACCTGCTTCCTCAACAGGGAGATAGGGGACATCAAGTCCCACCTTACTACTCACTGGCCTAGCAAAAATTAAGAGGGATAACTATGTACGAGAGTCTAGCAAAGTGCCTGCCACATGGTAGGCATTCAGATAACAATCTAATAAGAATAAATCTGATCCTAATAGCAGCTTGGGAAGAGTCACACATCAGAAGTTGTTGACATAGAGGTCTGGGGCCAAAGAGAGCCAGAAGGCAGCAGACAGCACTACCCCTCTCATAAATCCATATGCCAATTCTGTCTACTCTCCGGCCGGTCCCCCACGGCACAGAAACCCCTGGATCTGGGGCCGATTCCTCCACCAGTGCCTCCTGGTGCTGCTGCCCCACCCCATATTGGGCCAAGGAAAGCGGCCAGGGCTGGGAAGCTGTGGGGCAGGCAGGGGTGGCTCCCCCTCCCAGTATGGCAGGCTTCTCCTGCATAGGGGGTGGGCGACGGTGGTGGCAGTTTGCAGCACCCCTTCTCTATGTGGGTCTCACCTTGGCATTTACAAGTTTTCTTTCTGTACCTTCTGCCTCATATCCAATGTCTCAAGAGAAATCAAGAGATCTGTGAGAAGGTGGCAAAGCTTTGGCATTTCTTCATTTGCTATGAAAACAAAGGAATCGAATCCAGAAGTCCTGAGACAGAGCTTCATTTAATGAGACTTAGCAACTCCTCAAACACTGCCAAGGAAGGGCGTATAAGAGGAGAGGGGCAACCTCAAGGAGAAAGGCGTGGGGTGGAGGGTCCAGCGGGAACCCTGGGGGAAAGAGCAGGTGGAGACGGGAGGTGGCTCTGTCTTAACCCAGGCGTCAAAGGCAGCAGCGGACCCCCACCCTCGACTCCGTTCCGTGCCCGCTGTGCCCACAGCTCTGGGCCCACCAGGGCCAACCCCATGAGCCAGGGTTTCCCAAATGAGGAACTCCTCGGCTAGGTACTTCTCAGCAAGAGGAGAGAGGCAGGCTCAGGGAGGAACCGCCACGGGCAAAGCAGTTCGGCCAGTCTCGGTTTCAGGTTTCCAAAGAACAGTCGTAGCAAATGTTGGCTGATCCACGTCTACCTTGTTTCTAGAATATGGCCAACTATCAGGCGTGAGCCCCTAGATAAACGTGAGGTCACCTGGCGCTCGGGTCTAACTTCCGCGGACTGGTACGGAGGCTGACCCAGGGCCCGAGGCCGACAGCCCAGGCCCGGCGCACGGCCTGCTCTCTCACCCCCCCCCACCCCCGCCCTGCTCCGCGGGTTCGACGGCGGGTGAGGCGAGGGCCGGGGGCGCTGGCGGGTGAGGGGCTGGAGAAAGACCCGCGGCGGCCCGGGGGGCGGGCGCGTTCCGCTGCGGGCACACCTGGGCCCCCGCCCCGACTCCGCGCGGGGGCTCGGCTCGCTCCCACCCGCCCCGGCCGCCTACCTGGCCGGGCGCAGGGCCCGAAGCTCGTCCCCGCCGCGCAGCGCCTCACCGCGCACGGGCAGGCGAGCTCCCCGCGCCGCGCCCCTGCCACTCGGCGGGTTCCGCCCGCCGCGCCCCGCGCAGAGCTACGGCGTCGCCATGACGACAGGGCGGTGGCTGCGGGTGGGGAGCGAGGTGGGAGGTGCGGCGAGGATTACTGGGGGCAGGGGGCGCCGGAAGTGCCCCTGCGCGTCCCAGCACGCGGGGCAGGGCCCGGCGCCCACTAGTGCCCCGCTTTCGGGACCGGGACCCCGCCGGATCCCGGGCCCAGACCTTAACGCCGCGCGAAGGAGATGCGGCGCGGGGCGCTGAGGGGCTACAGCCGCGGCCACCGCGACCCCGGCCTTCTGGACCCGAGCTCGGGTAACCTTCGAAATCCGGGCCTCGCGACCCGGGGCGCGTTCAAGGGCGGAAGGGGGTCTGCGACCCGGTGGGTGTGAGGGCCTCCCGCCCAGGCCTGACGCGGAGGCCGCGGGCGCTGCTCGGGGGGATGGGCTGCGGGACAGGGGCCGGGACCCAGGATGGGCACGGGGACAGGCCCGGGCGCCGTGGGAAGGGGCTGCCGGCCGGGAGAGCAGTCCCAGGCGTGGGCTCCGCGCTTCCTGATTCCCTCCACGCCCGCCCTCCGCTTCCCTCCCACCTTTTTCCGCCTTCCCCCTCGCCCCGCCCCAGTCTCAGGTGGCCACTAGGTGTCAGACATGGCCCGGGCCTGGGCCCACGCTGACGCTTCCGCAGCCCTGGGGGACACACACCCCTCCCTCCTGGCCCGGAGGGGGATGTCACTGGTGGGCAAGGCTGGACTCACCCCTTCCCCAGTACCGCCTTCCCAACGCGAGCGCGCGCGCGCGCGCGCGCACACACACACACACACACACACACACACACACACACACACACACACACGGTGGCTTTTTTCGCACCCTTTCCTTAAGGGACTTTGTCTGAGACTGACTACCCACCCTCCAGACAAACCAGCCTAAGGATAAATACCAGTTCTCACCAGCCCTCCTGAAGGCCTAGATCTTACCAGCGGCAGCCTCCTCTGTCCTAACAGCTGAGAGAAGGATGCCAAGGCGAAGGCTGGGGGCCAGCCCCTACCGCAGCCCCCTATCCAGGAAATGCTGTGGGTAGATAACAAGTCCAGCTCAGACTTCTCACAAGCTCAGAACAAAAGGTTCTTTCCTGTCAGTTGCTTGGCAAGGCTCACCAAGAGCCTGAGGGTAGGAGGGAAATGGGGTTTCCTCCCCTGGAGTTGTAAAAGAGACACCCCTCCCCCAGGGTGTCCCTCCCCCTCCCCCTACCTCCCACATTGTGGGTTTCCCATGGGCAGTGGCCAAGGGCTCCTGAAGGACCCTGGCCAAAGGGGGCTTGGGGATCTAATTCCCTCTTACAGAGAGAACATACTCTCAAGCCCATGGCAAGACACCAAGGGTGCCCACTCTCGTGGTCACATCTTCTAAGGGGGCAGACAGAGCAGGGCCCACCCCTCAGAGTAACCAAGCTTAAACCTGCCACAGCATAAATTTGTTGGAGTAGCTTTCCAGTTGGAGGGAGTTATTGGACATTTTAAATTAAGAAACAGCTTCCTTAGCGTGCCAGCAGGCAAACAGCAGGCAACAAATGCTCTGTGTGTTAAATGTGGAACTGAGCCATTTCCCATTGTTTGGCCTGTATATTTGGGCCTAGAGGAGGAGGACTGGAGTGGGCAGGGTGGCACAGGAGCGGAGCCTGCTGGGAACTCTGTGATTTGAGTGCCGAGCTTCCCTGTGTAGAGCTTTCAGCCCCTTCCGAAGCTGGGAGAGAGACGCCTGCTGAGGCAGGATGGGGCCCCTGAGTCCTTCTTCCACCTGCCCCCATGGTCCTATGGGCTTGGGCAGCAGCGTTTTCCTCTCAGAAGGGAGTGAATACCTTGCCAGCTTATAGTGGGGAGGCGAGAGCCGTGGTGCTCTGATGGAGGGGAGGTGCCTCCCTGAGGACCAGCCACACAGAGACTTAGCACTAAGGACTCAGGGCTCCACTCGTCCATTTTAAAGAGCGGGTGATCCCACTAGACAGCCACCAAGCCCCAGAACCCCCAACCCAGGATGGCAAACCCTCCCATTCTCCCCCCACTGCCTGCTGCTGAGACTTCTGCCGCGGAAGCTACAGAAGCTTCCACCCTCAGCTGGGGGGCAGAGAGGTAGATGAGAGCAGGCTAGAGGAGCAGCACCAAGGCACCTTCTTGAGGACGGAGATTGTGGCCCAGGGCATTTTCCACGCAACAACCCCCACCCCCTTACCGCACTCATAAAGCCACACTAGACTCACCAGATACACTCCTGCCTCTCCTTCCGAATGCCCTGGTCATCACTTGGCTTATTCCTTCACATGTCAACTCCTGAGAGAGGCCTTCCCTAAGTGTCCAGTCCAGTGGGGTTGAGGTTGAGTTGTAGGGAAGGATTTTGCATTAACTGTGCTCTTGACAGCACTGGGAAACCCCAGCGGGCGCTCACCCTCTTCTTTGGCCAAAAGCATTTATTTAACTAATAGGAGGAACCAAGAGAGCAGAATGTACTTCACGAGTAGGGTCTCAGATGCCCCTGAGGAACCAGGCTGTTCAGCGCTGCCCTTACTAGGGTTCCCAGACTGAGAAAGAAGGATTCCCAGTTAAATTCGAAGTTAGTATTGTTTTTGGCATCATCATGCTCCACTGATGTGTAATATACCGAAAATGTATTTGTCATTTGTTTGGTATTCATATGTCATTTGTTAGCTGGATATCTTGTATTACCTGGCAAGCCTATCTTGCTCCTGTGTGGGAAGGACAGGAGAGGAGCCTCCTAGCCATTCCAGCCCCACCCCCTCCCGGCAGAGCTCCCGCACCTCCAATAGGCTGAAACAGCCAGTTGACTCCTGTTCAGAGTCAGGTCAAGGTGCATCTCATGCACATTCCTCTTCAGCACGGGATGTAGACAGAGGCCTTTACCTTGGGATACAGAGAATGCGAAAGGCTTAGGAGACGGGGTTCCCCAGACCAAAGGCTCTGTAAGACACGCACACACAGCATTCACTCACACTTTACAGCGGCGATTTACCGAGTCCCTTCTGTGTGCCAGGTGCTGGGCGGCCCTGGGACAATATCAGTGGACACAACAGGCACAGCCCTTCTCTTTCAGGCCGCAGCTCATAGAAAGGCAACCCAGATGTGAGAGTCAGGGAAGGCTTCTGGAACCCTGACATAGACTCAGAGAACTCAGAGAGCTGCAGGACAAGCAGGGGTTCCGCTGGCAGAGGGACCATGGGGAGAGGGCAGGAGTATCCCAGCCGAAGGCACAGCTAGAGCGGCTAGAGCATTGTGCAGGAAGGTGAGCATAGCCTAACATGGTACACCCTCCGGGCTCCCGGGCCACCACCGCCAGAGTCCACAAGCTTGCCCCGAAGCCTGCGCCGGCGCGGGGAGCTGAGCCTTGCCTTGGGATGGCTGATCACTGAAAGACGCTTACTCTGGCCCGTCTGCGGAGGCAGGAGTCGCCCAGGGCGTGGGGTGGCCCCATCAGGCCCCCTCCCAGAGGAACTTGTTCCAGCTTCCTCGAAAGGAATACGAGTCTTATTCTGAAAGTACCGACCACTTTGATGAGCTGCAGATGAGACGAATCCCTCAGGGAGAAACCCCCCTCTTTCGGTTTGGGGGGCACGGGCCCCAGCAGGAGCAGCAGGAGCTGCAGCGATGGGGAAGGGGTGGCAGGGAGGTGGGGGAGGGGGGCTGGCTCCAGATGAAGACAGTCAGTCACCTGGGACCTCTGGAATTCCGGGGCATTGGGCTGAGGGCTGTCGCAGGCTGTGGGTCCCAGGCTGACGCCAAAGCTAGTCCAGTCTGGGAAGACAAGACTCACAAACACACGAATTTAGCCCTGCGGGACGGCTGGAGAAGCGATGAGAATCCGCGGAGTCAGGCCACCTTTTCCCTCTGCCTGCTCTGAGGGAACCGGCCCGGGTTAGATAAGCAGTGAGGACCAGCCTGGGGCAAGAGGGGGCGTGAGGGCCCTGGGTGCGCGAGGTGGGGGGCCATGAAAGGGGCGGGCTTTCCAGCCTCCCAGGGTGTTTCTAATGACACATATGCACAGACATGTATGTGTGCACCCACACACAGAAACCTAGTTGCGCATAACAGCCAAGTGTTACAAAGAAGATTAAGCAGGAGAAGGGCCAGAGTGTCACAGGAGGAAGGCTCTCTGAGGAGAGAGGGATGCAGGCCCTGTGGAGATGGAGGGGAGGTTAAGTCCAGCAGAGGGAAGAGGGAGGAAGGGCAAAGGCCCTGGGGCAGGAATGTGCATGGTCAGCTCCATACCATCCTGCTCTCTAACATTCCTCTCCCCGGGCAGAGGAGATGCTGTATGCAGAAGGTGGCAAGAATGCAAACAGGTCCTCGCGGAGGGCAGAGGTTGAAGATGTGAGGTATGTTGGAGGGACTTAGCAGTAGATATCCCGGGGTATCTTAAGAGGTGTCCGCAGCTCCATAGTTGTATCTGATTACGAAGCACATCCCTTGCACAGTGGGGAATCTGGATGGAGGGTCACAGTCGCTAGGGCACCGCCAAGCTCCCCTTGTCCAGCGTGGCCTGCGCAGGAAGCATTGGAGCCCAGCTCCAGGACCTCACTCCCCTGGGCCAGCTCTCCCCTCCAGGAAGAAAACTCGAAGATGTTTGTATCCCAGTGGTGTCCTCCATCCCGACCTTCTGGCTTTTCTCCTTGGGTAGATCAGTTGGTCGGTCAGTCAACAAACATTGAAGGAGTGCTAGGGGCGTTCACTGTGGAGAGCAAAGGTGTGAGGCCTGGGGTAAAGGGTGGCCAGAGCCTTGGGTGTTGTCAGCAGAATATGGGAAGGGAGAGGAGATCCTGCTGATAATGACAGAGGCCTAATCAACTCCACAAGCCAGCTATAAACTGCAGGGCTAGGACTCTTGCACTTTGTTCAAAGCCTGTGACAGCTCTGTGTTCTCATCTTGACTCTGAGAGCTACGCCAACTCGAGCTCCATACCCCCTGGTTCTTGGCCAACCTTCTCAGGACAGAAGTGCAGCAAGGGTGTGG